AAGCCCTCTCCACAGCTCGCTGAGCAATTTTGAGCTTCCTCATACGGCTGGTAGTGAAGTACTATGTCTCAGATCCATAAGTCATCACTGGCAACACGCAATGGTTGTACAATCTTGTTTTCAAGTTTTGAGGTATATCTGACGAGATGTGTCGTTTCTCCTGAACGCTGCCCAGCCTAGTTAAATCCGTCGACGGACCTTTTGGTCCAAGGTACGACTTACCTGGTCGGACTTTTTGTTCCAGGTAAACATTACATGGTAAACAAATTCGTGATTAGTGCTCCCAGCAACTATCGGCATAGGTGTCATATGAACGTTACACATGATCTTTGTTTTATCCATGTTCATCTTAAGACCTATCGCACCTAGACCTAAGGCACTTTTGACGTCATTGACCATAGTGCTTAAGTCCTTCAGCGATTCTGTAATAAAGTATAATATCGTCGGCAAATCGAAGATGAGTGATGTACTCGACATTGATGCTAATACCGTATACTTTCCAGTCCAGTAGCTTATGTATGTGGATTTGATGTTAAAGCCTGTTCGGCAGGCTGGAAGTTGTTGAGTCTACGTGCGAGACGATTTGTAATGAATCTCGAAAACATTACGTAGACGCAGGTCAAAAGGGAAATATCTGTATAATGGTCTGTGGTTATTCAAAGGAGCGTTGTTGATTTTCTTGAAGAACAAGACCACCGCACTTCTGCCCCACGCTTTCGGTGTAGTGCTACCATGGTGAACGGATTTAAGAACTTCGGAAGGACTTCAAGTACCGATTTTCCACGCACATACTGAAGATCCGCTGTAATTCCATGCTTGCTCAGAGCGTCGGGACGTCCGGGATATCATCGGAATAGTGCCGATAAGACTTGCTCTTGAATCGATGACGTGTACCCATAGAACCTCTCAATCTCACTTCAATCGGTCTTTAGCTTTGACCGTTGGCTTTTTCTGAGATAGACTTTGGGGCCCTAGTACCGCTCGATCGCTTCTATAATACGAGCTGTATTGAAGTCGCGTAGATCCCGCCACATGTATTTGGAGATTTATCTGTTCAGATACATGTATGCTGTCAAATCTACTAAATAGTGCAGTTTCAATTCCCGTCTAATAGCCATGAGATTAAGAGTCAGATCAGAGAGTGTTTGTGTTATTCTGCGATGGGACTTACAGTACTTAGCTCCGACCGCATTGACAGTTTTCACGAGCTTATCCATTCATATCGTCCACTGCAATGCCTCGAGCTGAAAGTTCTCGGGGTTTGCATTAGAGAACGAGTGGAACTTACTGAATATATATATATATATATATATATATATATATATATATATATATATATATATATATATATATATATATATATAGATATATATATATCATCATCATCATCATCATCATCATTACAGCCCTTCACAAGTCCACTGCTGAACATAGGCCTCCCCCAAGGAATGCCACAAAGCACGGTCCTGAGCCACCTGCATCCATCGACTTCCTGCATGTCTTACCAGGTCGTCACTCCATCTCGTGGGGGGACGCCCTACACTTCGCCTACCGGTACGAGGCCGCCACTCGAGAACCTTTCTTCCCCATCGGTTGTCGGTTCTTCGAGCTATATGGTCGGCCCACTGCCACTTCAGCTTACTAATCCGTTGGCCTATGTCGGTTACTCTGGTTCTACTGCGGATATCCTCATTCCTAAGTTTATCACGCAGAGAAACTCCGAGCATAGCCCTCTCCATAGCTCGCTGAGCGACCTTGAGCCTCCTCATACGGCCAGCAGTGAAGGACCACGTCTCAGTTCCGTAAGTCATCACTGGCAACACGCACTGGTTGTACAATTTCGTTTTAAGGTTTTGAGGTATGTCTGACGAGAAGATGTGTCGTAGCTTCCCGAATGCTGCCCAGCCGAGTTGAATCCGTCGATTGACCTCTCGGTCGAAGTTGGACTTACCTAGTCGGACTATTTGTCCCAGGTAAACATACACGTCAACAACTTCGAGCTTAGTGTTCCCAACAACTACCGGCATAGGTGTGACATGGACATTAAACATGATCTTTGTTTTGTCCATGTTCATCTTAAGACCTATCTGTTGGGAAACACTATTGAGGTCATTGAGCATAGTGCTTAGGTCCTCCAGCGATTCTGCCATAAGAACTATATCGTCGGCAAATCGAAGGTGAGTGATGTACTCGCCATTGATGTTGATATATCGTATATTGTCGTTTATATTTATATTCAGTACGTTATTAGGTCACTCTCCCATCTGTTGAATGAGATTATGGAGACGCGGATTGTCGTGTTCTAGTATAACGATATACAATGATTAGTCCATTAAAATGAACTTGCTATAACAATAAGCAGCTAATATGCTAAAAAATATTTATGAATTTATTTAATTTTTCTTTTGCTTATCGAATACAAACATTTCTAAGTTATACATTATAAAAAACTAAACAAACAAATAACACTTTCAGGGAAAGTTCCCTGATATCAAAACTACACATGTAAATATTCGGTCTAAATTATTCTGATGTGTTATTTACCACATCTTACGGTTTCCTTTACTTACTAGTAGTATTTTTGTGACCTATTTTTGTAATCTTTTTCCGGTCGAGCCGTCTAATTCCTGGTGCAGACATTATATGCATACAATAGCAGCTCTACTAAAATAAAACGTACTCTATAAAAATAACTGTAATGTAATAAAATAATAAAAGACAAAAATTTAGAGTTATATAAAAGTAAAGGAAAGGTTTTGAAATTATCAAAAGACAAAAATTTACTAAGAAATAATTTGCTTTCAATACAAACGTAAAAAAATTAATATATTTTAGATTTTATTTCGATTGCACTTTTTGTCCCCAAAATCCCGATTGTTTTACGTTTACCGTTGAATTGCAGATTAGACCACTAGGCTAAAACTGTTAACAAAATGCTTGATATTTAATATATTTATTGTTTTCTGAAATATTTTTCAATTAAATTTAGAATAAATTATCTTAAATTAGGTAATCGGATTACAAATTCAGAGAGTATTTAGATGTTTTGATTTTCCTTGTATCGGACGACGCTACATCATTACACTTTGGAAACTTTCTGTCAGCAGTATCTTGAACTGGTGAACACGAACGCCGGCTAAAGCAAGGAAATGACACATATTTAAACGAATCAGAATAAATGAATCTACAAAAATATTATATATTTGCGCCAATATCTGTTGAGGGAGGTTTGCTATGGCGAAGTTTTGTAAAGGAACTTTATCCGCGACTGGTCGAAAATAGATTTCGTTCTTTTTTGTCAAAAGACTAAGTATAGCTATTTAGTAAGCAGCCCGTAATAATGGAACTGGTGAGGATTGGAGTGCAGTAATATGACCATTTCAGTTTTTAGTTTTAATCAAATTTAATAAAATTAGTTTGTTGGTTTTAAATAAGTTTTTAGTTTTAATGTTGAATTTAACACTTTATGTATATTTTTTAAAAAAAGTAAAAATTAACTTGTAAATTTATAATAAATTAGATAAGAATGACGATAGTAACCCCCCACTAGATGGAGTGACGACCTGGTAAGACATGCAGGAAGTCGATGGATGCAACTTTTTTTTTTTATAGGATAGGGTAATAAAAGAGCTCACAGTCCACCAGATGGTAAGTGGTTACTGTGACCCATAGATATCTACATCTATCATCAATAAAGACTCAAGATGCAGATGCGTTGCCACCCATGAGGACTAAGATGGAATGCCTCTTTGCCAGTAATAAGGGTCTCCGGTTCTCTACACTCACCGTACGAAACACAGCACTGTTAAGCTGCTATTTTACGCTGGTTTTCTGTGAGAGCGTGGTCCTTCCCCGGTCGAGCCGACCCATTCGTGCTACAACTGTACTACTAATATAGCTGCAGCATGGTTCTCCCACGTGCACCGTGCTTTGTGGCATTCCTTGGGGGAGGCCTATGTTCAGTAGTGGACATGTGAAGGGCTGTAATGATGATGATGAAATAAGAATGTAACTGAACATTTTACAAAAATTTCTATACCAAGTCCCTTGTATCGTCCCTTGTAGTGCAAAAGATTTACAAATCGTTTATATTATCATTTTAGCTGTTTTAAACCTTGGGTTATTAGTATAAACGGTTTGTCTATTTGTGATAACTTAAAAAAAAAACTTCGTCCATTGCTTAGAATCAATTATCTAAATTGTGAGCCGCATAAGAAGTAATACCCTATTTTATTTTATGATTTATACGTTCTTGCAATTTAAATAACATACCGTGAACTCAAAATTTCACTTATTGACTTACTACAACAAATCTATGTTTGTGAGCCCTACCTTCTGCACTATTGTAGCGAAAAGGACGCTCCCTAGAGTGTGCTGAGCTCATGTTAGTATATCCTACTTAGTTTCGGATAGACCCAAGAGTGATAAACTATAAATCGTTAAACATTTAACTTATTAAGTTTGCAATATTTTATTTATTTTATTTTACGTTTAAGAACAATGGTAGCTCAGAGAGAGAGAGAGAGAGAAGAGATTAAATAGCTCGCTATAAATTTAACAATACGCGCGCGTATTGTAAAATGACCCGGGTTCCATCGCCGTCGGCACCAATGAAAATGTTAAATGTAATTTTAATTGCTGATTTACCAAGTACTCAACGGTGAAAGTAAGCCTGCATGTCTAAGAAATAAAATATCTCGAAGACATGTCAAGTCCATCAACTTGCATTGGAGCAGACTAATTACTCCATAAGCTTACCAGAAATGAGAGAAGGCCTGTGCCCAGCAGCTTACCTTACTGTGTTTGAATTTAGAATAATATCGTTCTTGCATTGGAAAAACCCTCATCTCAATAAATTATAAAACATGACACTGGTCAAGGATTCTTTTCACTGATCGTGTGGACGAAATTTAGCAAAGCAAAACAATTTGTATGCTTATAGGGATGAAGTAAAGATATGTGTACACTCCAGTGTAAATGAGTTTTTGTTTGTTTAACAGTGCCTCCCAACAAGATGGTGATAACGGATGATAAGGGAGACGTGAAACAAGCCATTGTCGGTCCTTATGTTGAAGGTGACACATTTACATTGAAATGCGATGTGTCTGGAGGTAAGTGAACTTTGAACTTTAAGGTAGAAAATTTTAATACTATCCAATTTATGTACGATTTTTAGTTATGTTCCTTATCATATTATGTAAATTAATGTAAAAGTAGCGACAATGGTGTGTTATTATCGTGTGTTTTGGAAGTCTGTAGTCTCTGCCTACTCCTATGTGTGTAAGAAAGTTATTCTTTTTATGTGTCAATATGCTTTCATGAAATGTGAGATAAATAATTTATCGTAGGTCATTTGACGCAGTGCAGATGAGAAAACGACTCTGAATCCCTCTTTCGGCTTCAAAATGGCGGTCGTACATGAGAGGGGTATTAATTAAAACTCGACATGACTGCAACACGAAGAATGTAATACTGTCCCTAAATCATGTTACGGTAGGGTTTCACGGTGTGAACGAATGAAATATCCGGTGTCAAACCAGTGCCCATTAACCATTACGAAGGTGTTTAAAATTATTGGAATGGACCCGAAATTCTAGTACGATGTTCGACCTTCGTAATGTTTTGACCTTAATTGAAGTGAAATGTAGGCATATACCTATATCCTGGGCACGTCATTAATCACGCCATAGAATTCAATCCTCTCGGACTTAACATTTGAGGTGAATGAGTTAATACCGACAATGTTGCATTTATTAAATTAGGGTATTTAAAAAAAAGTTGTCATAAAATATCATGTCACGTTGTGTTATTCTGTTTTTTAGGAGAAACATACGATCCTATATCAAACAATAAATAGTTTGACCTTTAGTTGACCTACTAAATCTATCCTCGATTTTGATTTTGTCATTTTTAGCAAGCACAATAATTTTAGTTTGGCTAAAGTCTATTTATGTGTTTATATATCTGTGGGAATATGTTGCGTATTTACAGTATTTGTACTAAAATTCAGGAAATTTGTGTTCATGAATTTAATTTTATACTTACGTGAAACTTTTACACTTTGCTTCCTAGTATTTTCTGTTTGACCAAAAAGGTAACACTGGAAGATCATATCTTGTGGCAAATAGGAATACATTTCATGAAAATATTATCTTTTTTTGAATGATCATTACTGCATATTTAAAGAGTGATGCCCTATGACATGATATTTCTTTCTGTAAAATATATTTTTCTATGAGAGCCTTATTTTAATGAAGCGTCTTTTTACTTAGCATAAAAGCTATTGCTAGAAAATTGTAAGTGGTATTTAAAATTTAATTAATGTAACTATTTAATTTCTGTGTCAGGTCGACCAAGGCCGTGGGTGAAATGGTATCGCGATGAAGTAGAAGTAGACACACCGGCGACAGCACTTCAAGGGAATGCTGTACGTGGAGTCATCCACGTGGGGCCTCTGACGAGAGCTGATGTTCGCGCCGCACTAACGTGTAGAGCGTCTAACCATTTGAGAGCGCACCCCATTGAAACAACCCTTACTTTGGATATGAACTGTAAGTTATATTTACTTAATAATATCGTTATTTTTATAGAAGCGAGAGCAAAGAGCATTCGGCTCGCCTGATGTTAAGTGACTACCACCGCCCATGAACAATTGCAACACGAGGGGAATTGAAAAAAGTTTTTAAAAAGAAATAAGCTCTTTTCTTGAAGGTTTCTAAGTGGATGGTAACGTGACTTACGCTCCTGAAATTTGGCGTCTGGAATTAATCCAAACAATTCCTCAGAGCACTCCCCATAATGAATGCAGAAAATGCAAAGGGATGGAACATCCCCTCGCAGTGCCAATGAGTCGAGACGATCAGAAAGAACTTGGTCTTCGATTATTCGAGCCGTCCTGTGCTGAATATGGTTATGTGGAAGGAGCTGGCACTGTGGTGCCCCGGACGAGAGATGAGAGCAGTATTCCATATAAGATCGAACAAGCGCCTTGTAATGTTACAAGCGGTGTGCCGAAATGAAATACTGTCCCGATCTGCTGAGAACGCCTATCTTTTTAATGTTTTTTTAAATGAATCAATGACTTAATTGCCCACTACTAACCGAGTGGTAACGGTGTAAGGTAATTTCACCGCCTCATTTTGTGCGTGGATGTCATAACGGGCAACGATGATAAATGCCAGCTAAATCTGATGGCCGTCTATGGGTGACCGTATCACCGTCTTGTAAAAGCCAGGTATAACATATGAAGAAGAAATCAGCAAGTATTTGACGAGTAAAATAATTAAAAATAGGTTTGTAGATGGTCTGCACTCACTGTTGTAACAGTTCGCAACAATTCTCTGTTAATCATTATGCCTGCCACTTAAGGAAGGAATTGACGGAATTACACTTGGTGGCAAGCAAATTGACATCTGAAATACCTAATGTTTTGTATTTCAGGCGTTTTGTTAAATATTATTTTGTTCGTATTTTTCAATGCGTACAGCAAAGGATTGGAATGATTTGCCGGCGTCTACCTTTCCGTCCGAATACAATCTGGCCGTCTTCTAAGCAAGAGTGAATAGGCTTTTATTACGCTAAGACAGTGCGATTTACCATTTAGGGCTGCATCACCACTTACCACCAGGTGGGATTGTGGTCAAGCACTGGCTTATGATAAGTAAAAAAAAACATTATTGACGTACATTCCCGTTTTTGTTTTTTTTTTTGTTATTTTAATCTGCTTGATAACCAGTCTGTAGCAGGCAACTCTCAACAACTGTTGAAGGGACGATTTACCATAATCGCCAAGTTTTGCAGGTGGATCAAGAATTGCTATATTAGACGCATTTTGCATCTTTTAAACTGCTCTTTGTCAACGATCTGAGTATTACGGTTGGCGTTAAAAACTTTTTTTGGCAATTCCCATATTACGAAATAGTCCCTCTTGGTACAAAATGAGGTCACGGAATCTCTTAAGTTATAAACGAAAGGTTACGATTAATAATACTAAAGAAAAAAGTATAAAAAAATAAAGTTCTTGGTATTGCGAAAGTATTAATAAGTATATAATATATAATAAATTCGATACCGACGACGTTCTGGGTGGTCATAAAAGGAGAGATACGGAAGTTCCATAGCAGTTATAAAAACGTTATACATTCTTATAGATCCTACGATTTATGTAAATTTGACTCAAAATAACCAGAAATCATATTTTTTTGAGTCAAACATGAAAATTATTGCATAAAATATGTTTAGATCTGAGTCATAAAAAGCTTTAAAAAGTTATGATTTTTTTATAATCTTGTCCACAGTTCCCCCATTAACAGTTCACATCCTTGGTTCAAATCAGCCATTATCAGCGAGTAGAAGGTATGATCTTCTCTGTCAGAGTTCCGGGTCGAGGCCGCCGGCCTCAATCACTTGGTGGAAGAATGGTCACCGGATAAATAATGCTAAAGAAACGGTAAGGACCGAGCTAATCTATATAAAGTTCTTACAAGTTGTGAAATATATTAATGCGCGTTATTTTTTATTTTAGTTTTAAAATCTATATGGGTAAAAATCTTAAATAGGATGTTGTATGTTTTACATTATTACCGTGTAGTGGCGGTGTAAGAATATCCATAAAATCGCGTTGCTTTCGTAAGAGGTGACAGACGGAATCAGGAGATGGAAAGCAGCGTCTTCCTAATAATGACCAAGAATAATAAACTGCAGTTGCCAACCCGCTTCTCAAGCATAGCAACTATGGCAAATATCAAGAAGGAATCTATGTATAGACTTATAAAATTCATCACAGCATGTAATGTATTTGCTTTCTTACCCACCATACATGGCGGAGGCCTATGCGATGGACTCGTGATGGACTGTAATGATAAAAATGTTACATTCCTAGAATTTAAAAAGCTTTATTGCTTTTGGTTACAATGTCCGGACTTAAATCCTTATGGCATTCTCTTTGGCAACCTTGTATGATTTAAGAAACTGAGAGACATATCAATCATTATAAATTTATGAATCCGTTAATTTTTTATAATCTACCTAACTCTCCTAATCAGTATTATCATAGGAACAACATCGCGATGTCAACTTAAAATAAGGGCACGTAAAAGTAATAAATGTAGATTGAATGGGGCAGCTAGTGCTTGGGGCGTACTCAAATCGGTCGTAAGGGAGACCCGGTCAGAGTTTCAGTTTAGGATGTTTGCCGTCACCAGTGACGAGAGGCGGGTGAAATATTAGGGTAGATATTGTGTTTTGTTGTTTACGACAGCAGATTAAAAATAAAATATTTGAATAATTCTCCTTTCCGTCATCAGACATTTTAACATTATTATATATTATTAACAGTGGTAGAGCCACGCGGCAGCTTTTGCTGTCGCACGGATGGGCCAGCTCAAACCGGGGTGGTACCACGACCTCACAGAATACCAGCGTGAAGTAGAGGTTTACCTCTGCGTTTCGCTTGGTGAGTGCAGGTGGCCGGAGGCCCTTTTTACTGGAAAAGAGACATTCCACCTTAGTCCTCACGGGTGACAACGCATCTGAATTTTGATTCGCAAACGAGGATAGATGTAGATGTCTATGGGCCACAGCTACCACTTACCATCAGGTGCACTGTGTGCTCATGACTAGTTTCCATCCTTTTGTTGTAGATACTTAAGATAAGGTTTAAAATATTCCACTACTTCATATCAATTCCCGTAGAGTGGTAACTATTATGCTTATGTTTGCCAGTGTATTGAACATGATGATTGAAGATATACATAGTAAATAAATAAGCATTTTGATTAATTCCAAATAGTGCGTACATCAAAAGATTGGATAAGTTTATTCCATCACTTTTGCCGTACAATAACATAAGCAAATACACGTGGATATTTTAAGAGAAGAGTGTTTAAGCTGTTAGTAAGCTAATACATTTTAGTATCTGGGATTGTGCATTGCACCACCATTTTAACAGTGGTAGAGCCACGTAGCAGCTTTTGCTGTTGCACGGATGGGCCGACTCGAAACGGGGTGGTACCACGACCTCACAGAATACCAGCATGAAATAGAAGTTTACTTCTGCATTGCGCCTGGTGAGTGCAGTCTCGGACTAGAGCTGATTAAATCTAGTCCAGTTCAATTCTCAGAAGACAGAAGTTTGCGCATTTACTGCTAAAAAGAACCCCTTTGTCGTATTTCCTCAGTTTCAAGTCACTCCCCTTGTTGCCTCAGCTAGTGTCGGAATCCTCGGTGTCGACATATCAAGTGATGTGCAGTTTTGTGTTCACTTGGAAGAGAAGGTCAAATTGGCCTCTAAAAAGCTTGGCGTGCTCAGCAGAGCGAGACAGTATTTTATGCCAACACACCGCTTGCAACTTTACAAGGCGCAGGTTCGGCCCCACATGGAATACTGTTCCCCTCTCTGGCCAGGGGCTCCCCAGTGCCAGCTTATTCCACTTGACCGCATCCAGCGCAAAGCGATTCGTATCGTCGACAACCGAGTTCAATCCGATCGGCTTGACTCACTGGCACTGCGTAGAGCATCTCTTTGCATATTTTATCGTATCTACTACAGGGAGTGCTCTGAGTCTCTCTTATTGCACATTCCGACAAAACTCGCGATACCATCCATAATATCTGGATGATTGGCGGTCCACCACTGTGCGATTTAGAAGAATGTTTCTTCCTCGCACAACCTCCTTGTGGAATCGATTACCACCTGCGATTTTCCCGGACCGAAACGACTTACGGGCCTTCAATGATTGAGACTACTCCTTTTTAAAATGCCAGCAACGCATCTGCAATTCCTCTGGTATTGCATTTGTTAATGGGTGGCGGTAGTCACTTACCATCAGGTGAGCCGCATCCTTGTTAGCCCTTTCTCCTATTAAAACACCATTTCCATTACGTGGTGTCGTGCAGTCGAGCACTAGGTTAAAATTGGCTAACAAGACATAGGCAGCCATAAGGACTGCCGACAGAAGTGAATAATCAATGATATACTACCGCCGTACTACGCGTCGCTAGTCTGATGCAAGTCAGATTTAGATATTTTAAAGAAATAAATTAAAGTATCTGTCTATAATATGGAAATAACTGGTTTTATTTGAATTGATTATTGCATTAAATAACCATTTTTAAAATTAAATGTGTCTGCCTGTCTGCCTGGCACAAAATGGCTTAACCAATTGTGGTGAAATTTTCTCACATATAGAGAGAAATGTCAGGAGGGATCTAGGCTATAATATATCCTTGGAGAATTTTTTTTGAAAGAACGAAAAATTGGTAAAATAAATGATATTTTATTACTTATCTTAAACCTAAATAACCATTCGAAGCGGGAGACAGGTCGCTAGTTACCGTTATAATTATTTTTATATTAGAAAAAGAAATAGCGAAGACCTAGCAGTTTTAGAGTTATAATATTTTTCTTTTAAAAACACAGTAATTTATGTGAGAAAAGCGTTGTCTTTAAGCTGCCTACAACCAATAAATACATTTTTTAATTTATTTAATAAAGAACTGTCACTGTGCAACCACGTCATCCCGTTCAGATTTAATACTAGTAAGTCAAATTTATAACGATTTGTTGTTTTTTACTTCATAAATAAGCGAAATAATTGATTACATTTATTCCGAACCAAGTATGCCAGTTTTACCAGCATTTTAGCTTCTCTCGAGATTGGATTCCAAATTGAATGATATTGAAAGATCGAAAGCCAAAATACTGTTTACAGACTAATGTGAAAAATCTTATTACTACCGAAACCTAATGTTAAAACTGTTTCATTCCACACACATTCGGTCTAAATTTGTGGGACACCCCAGCTATGTAGGAATATTAATGTAATATAAATATTGTATGTAATATTAATGTTTATAGTAAAATTAATATTAATGTAATATAAATGTAATGTTGTATACATATTCCTTGCCTCAATTATTCCGCTTACGTCACAACTGGGTAGATGAACTTTTTTCAATAAAAGCTAACTTATTAGAGTAACGTTGTAGTCCGCCTGGATAGGTACCAATCTCTAAACTACGTCTGCCGGCAAATAGAACTGAGGTACATGTTGTGAGGCATTCCATTAGTCCTCGGATTTTTATTTTTATATAGTTTGCAGGGTTTCTATAGGTTGCAATTGCTACTTACCATCAGGTCTTCTTCAAGTTCATTTGTTATTACAATTTAATAAGAAAAATATTAGTAAAATAAATATTATACACGTTTATGCGCTGACAAATTTTAACTTTAGAAAAATGTTAATTATATCGTTTTGTTTTGTCGGCATTCCACAAACAGCAGATAATTAAGCACTTGAAGTTTATTAAAGAAGTCAAGTAATTGAAAGAACTTTGTGCTATTTACATTAATTTTCATAAGTGTAAAGTATGTAAAAACTCGTTTATGGAACTATGATTGTTCAACACGAATTCATTTAATTAAACGTTCATCGTCGAACATCGCTAGCAGAAATTAATATTAACACGGCCTGATTCAATATAATTCAACCTTAACAGACTAGCAATGGCTGTTTTAATTTATAATTTACCTGAAAGCCTTGATAGAACCTTTTAAATTTATTATCACAGTATCAGTCTTTGTAATTTCACGCCAATTTAACGTCGGTTATTAAATTGAAAAGGCATTTAAAATATTCGATTTAAACTTAACTTTACTCAGTTACGGTGACTATAAGATTGTTGTTTGTCACCAAGTATTCAATGACATAATTAACAAAACAAACTCAAATAAATTTAAATCCTAAGCCCAATAAACACATACACATGTTTTATGAAACTGGGAGTAATAAACTAACTTACAGTTCACCTACTAAGTGGCTAATGCAGTCCATGGATATCTGCTAACTTCAAATAATTAAAGGTACAAATATTTAGTCACTTCTGCGGACTAAGATGGAATGTAGTACAGTATATAATTATACTGTCTCTCTATACTCCACAGTCAGAACACAACAGTGCAAGCACTGCTATTCGGCTACAAAAATTCTAAGTAAAATTTCGTACAAGAAATTTTAAATGTAAGGTAAGATACCACCCAGTAAATATTATGTACGAGCAATCCACCCCGGTTTCACATAAGGTTATTTTTGGATATTGACAACAGAGCCACCTACCGGGACCAATTGTGAATTTAAATCATCAAACACACACAAAATATTTCATCAAAATCGATCCAGACGTTCTCTAGTGATTTCTAGTGATTTTCATACATGTGACAAATGATTTTTATTTGTTAATATTTTTTCTTACATCATAATTCTAAATGTACTATTTGCACAACTGTATTTTTTAATTTTTCTCTATATCATAATTAACTTAACTTATCTTCACGCACAATCCCTGACGGGGTAGCCAGAGAGAACAGATCGCCAAGTGTCACGATCCTTACATACCTCTTTCGCTTCTTTCAGATTCATTATCTTCTTCATACATGCACGTCTAGGTATCCGAGTACTCTTGACCCTCCCCTCTTCGAGCAATTTGCTCACATGGTCTTCGAAAGTTAGTCTCGGTCTACCTCGACACCTTTTAATATTTACTTTCACGCTATATATTTTCTTCACCATTCGGTCATCACTCATTATGCTCTATATAATATCGTTAGTATTACAGAGCTGTTAAAATTAACTTAAATTATTGGAGTTTTTTATGTAATTTCAATAGTACTTTAAGCCAGCACATGATCAATTTTGAACTCAAACACTGATACTGTTTAAACTAATTTGTAAAATGACAGACTACAACAGCTTTAATATCTTACAGAATACCAATGTAAAATAGCAGCATTATTTCTTAAGATTAGAGACGACAACCGGAGACCGGAGCTTGGTAACGAGGCATTTAATCTTAGCCCTCAAAGGTGACGACGCACCTTAATTGTATGTCTTGTATAAAATATTATGGAATTCCGGTGTTAATATTGTTATAATTAAACCAAAAAAAAAAGAAATTTAGCAATTTAAATTGCTATTTCTCTCTTTTCAAAGTTTTCTATCAAGCTTTTGAAATAAGAAATTAGTCTCATCAGAAATAAAACAAGGAAATACAAATGGCTTGAAAATTGTTTTATCAAGTTATTTTTTTATCTATTGCTATTGAGTTAATTTAGGTTTTCAGTGTAAATTCTCTAGATAAGGAAAGTTGCTAATAACGGTGTAATTAAACTATCTACTGACTTTCCTCCCTTTGGCTTGTAGTGGCAGCTTAAGAGAAATCCACCCCATGAGATCCCGTATTAGTTGTAAGACGCGATTGCGGAAAACTGAAAGAGATAATCAGCAGCATATCTATATCTTAATAATGATAGTATAAAACGGCAATTGCCAACCCGTCTGCCTAGCATGGCAGCTATAGCAAATATCCACCTGTTATCCTATTGGTGGCATATGTTCAGCAGTGCACTTTTGATGGACTTTAACGGACTTTTTCTTTATCCGTTTTAAGTACACTGCTGGAAGAATGCATTTTCAAGAACCTGTCAATAGTTTCTTCAAGGTTAATCATATTCTCCATCGAAATCTAAAAAAACAATTGAAGAAGAATCACGTTTAATAGAATAGAATAGAATAATTTTTATTCAATATAGATCACATGTAATTATTATTAAAAAGTATTTTTTACTTTACCACTGGTTCGAAAAAAAAGCCTCTGTCCTGGGGAGAACCAGCAAGAAACCCAGCGGGACTAACTATATAAGTACAAATTTATTTTGGAAACAGCTTGGAAGCGACCACCTCATTCCCAGGGGTTATTATCAACCATGTATTCATTTTTACTATAGTAACCCTTTTTATACAGTTTCAGCTTAATAAAACCATTTAAACTTGGTAATAGAGAGAGCCTGTACACATTCCGGGATCTTGTTGTAATAGCGTTTACATTGCCCCAAGAATGAATTACTGACTTTGTGGAGTCGATAAACTGTCATCACTAGTTTGTGTTTGTTCCTAGTATTTACAGAATGTACATCACTTTTTTTACTAACTTTACCTTTGTTTTTGTGAACATACATTAAATTTTAGTAAATATACTGAGAGGCCAAAGTTAATATATTTATTTCTTTAAATTTATCTCTAAGAGACTCTCTCGGTTTTAGGTTGTAAATAGCTCTAATGGCCCTCTTCTCTAAAACAAAAATAGTTTCTGAATCAGCCGCATTTTCCCATAGCGGAATCCCATAAGACATTATGCTATGGAAATTACTGAAATAAACTAATCTAATCTAATGTGATGTATAGTTAATTATCCTATCTTTCAACTCTTGTACTTTTCAATTTCCTTGAAATGACGCTACAAATCCTTCACTTGCGCTACACAGATAAAATAATACGACTTTTAATGTATATTGCTTTGATGCAATATGTGTTTTGGCCCCAAAGCACCCATTTCCAGATAACGGAAGCTAATAAAAAGGATGAATTGAAACAATATAGGTCTGAAAAGAGGCCAGTACAAATCCCCTAATTTCGAACAGCTACCTCAGGAGAATAATGTTATTTTTTGGCCGACTACAAAAAATAGGTACTCAATACAACTATATATGTTCTTATTTACACTACTACCGCAAAAGGAGGGCAATAATTTTCAAACGTATTTGTATGTATTTTTATTTCATTGGCATGTTCTGTAGCCTAAACGGTTTGATGGATTTTAGCATAAAGGTTATCGTTAGATACTCCTTCGTTGTGGAAGTAACATAAGGTGTTAATTTTTAAATGTTTCGCGTTTTAGTAAACTTTTTACGCTATAGAGTTTTTGAAATGACTGTTTTAAATATTTGACTTGTATTTGTATGCATGTTACACGATATCCGTTCCATCTATTACAGCCTATAAAAGTCCACTACTGAACATAGGCCTCTCACATAGATTGTCTTATAGGGGGGATATTTTCCATAATTACCACGCTTGGCAGGCGGGTTGGCAACTACGGCTTCTTTATTAGGGTAGTAGATATTCTTACACCGTAACTACATGGTTATAGTTATTCCATTTCACGATGAAGGTTTGACTTTGGTTGTTATTAACTGTTCACACACACATTGTGTTAGAGTGCGTAGGCCTCGTGAGCACTCCCCCATTTATTGTTAAATAGAATAACTATACGCGATATATTTGTCTAAATTCGGGAACCGATTTAAATTATTATTGGAATGGATTTTAATTCTCCACTATATTTTTTTATAGGATAAGGGTAACAACCAAGTACACGGTCCACCAGATGGTAAGTGGTTGCTGTGGCATCTACATCTATCCTCGATTACGAATCGAAACGCAGATGCGTTATCACCCGTGAAGACTAAGATGGAATGCTCGTTTCCATTAAAAGGAAAGAAGAAGCAGTAAAATTTGAAGAAAAAAATCCACCCAAATAGGAAAATAGGGGATGAAGATTTTAAACTATCTATTTAGATGACATTCTAGTTGTTTGTTAGCTTCATATTATTATATTCTGTAGTCTTAGTGGACTAATAATTCTTTGTAAGTATAGAATTTTTTTTTACACATTTGAGTAAAAAGAAAATATTTAATAAAAATGAAAGCCAAGTTTAAAGTACTAAAAGAAGAGAATAATTTCCACTGACATTTAAAGTTATAATTCATTTGAAGGTAATTTTTGTATAGTAATTAAATTTACCAATATATTGGATCGTCTGTAATATTTTATTTAAACTGGACCTAAAAAAAATAACGACGAATAATTTTCAAATTTAATAAATAACTTTTTTGTTATTTTTACTATTTTTTCGCTTTTATATCTTTAATTACTCAAGTTAATTCCCTGCCTTTTACATTATCACACAACCGAACATTCGGGTTTTCTCCCCCTTATTGTCCATGATCCATGCATTTGAAGTAAACAGTTTGCTTAGTCTTATGTAATGCGTACAGCAAAGGAGTGGCATAACTTTCCAGAGTCTGCCATTTCGCCCAAGTCCAATTTAAATGAGGATGTGTTCAAGGCAAGAGTGAATAGACTTTGTAACGCTAAGTTAGTACGATTTAAAATCTACGGCATCACTATCACTTGCCACTCGGTGGAATTTTATACGAAGACAAAGTTTTATTAAGCAGGAAAAATATATTATATATTTTAACGTCCTAATTAGACTTTTTTAAACAATTAAAAACATATCTAAGAAAATTTTATTACACTGGTTGTTATAACTATGTATGCATTGTGTAATACATAAAAAAAATTAATTTTTTTTCACTTGCAGCTCTCCTCTGATGGAAATACTACAACTTCTACAGTATCTCTACAACTGACTAAAGCTGACGCTGGGGCGAAGTTGGCGTGTCGGGCTTCCAATCCTCAGATGCCTTCTGTCGCTGCCTTAGAAGACGACTGGTTATTAGATATACAATGTCAGTTCAACATCAAAATAATTCAATAATATTTGTCAAACAATAATTTTTCCGAGGCATAAACCTTCAAGTCAAGAAGCAATATAATATATAAATATACGCTATAACTAAAATATTGTTTAGAATAATTGTATTAATATTATTTCAATTTGTAAGCGCTGTTATGCCTTCTTAAATGTTTACTCTATAAGATTATAACTGATAATCTCATTGTGTTGTTTTAGATGTTCCTGAAACAACAGTCAGATTAGGAACAAATTTAGATCCAAAGAATATAAGAGAAGGTACTGATGTTTACTTTGACTGCATTATCAAAGCACATCCTTACGTCTATAAAGTAGAATGGAGACACAACGTAAGTATATTTATTGAATTTATGAGTGGCATACGAAACTCAATCGATTTCTAAGGCTTGTCACCATTTTGTTTGTTTTAGCGCAAAACATTAGTGCACAATGTTGGACAAGGTATAATTATTACAAATCAGTCACTAGTTTTACAAGGAGTTGGAAGAAAAACAGCTGGTAATTACACTTGTGTTGGATTTAATGCTGAAGGAGATGGAGAGAGCAAGCCATTTTCGTTAAACGTTTTATGTAAGTAAAGTTTAGTAACAAAATATCAATAATCATTTTTATATTTATAAAGAACTGAGAGTATCTATGTTTTGTATATTATTTTTGACTGTCTAGTTGCTCTAGTTATGACGGCATTGCTGATCATAAAAAGAATATTAAAATCCCAGGTAAAGCAAAAAACAGTTATTGGGTTTTTCTCAATAGCGACCTACCCATGTACGGAGACAGAAAGTTGACGGTGTTTCACCCCCATGCCTGGGAAAGTACGTAATGCTATTTTATTTTGCTATTGCCATCCCTTCGTACTATGAGAGAGAGAAGGAATAGAGAGTGCATCTGTGCTTGGGCACATTCTCGTGCACTATAATCTGACCCTGCGCAGGAAGCTATTCTCCCTTGAGATTGACTCCTGTAACCAAAATTTGGTCTGGGGGACAGTTGATATCACAGAATTAATTTACAATGCAATTGAAATCCCATAGGGATCAAATTATTTATTTAAATAATATGTTGTTATTTTATCATTCAGTATATCATCGCATAGTATGAGAAAACTCAAAGTCTGTCGGTCAGTCATTTGAAACTTTAAATAGGGCTGATAGACTGAAATGGTCCTTAAAATATAAAATAAATTTCGAGCTCTTTATACTTAAGAAAAATACTTTTTTAGAAGAAAGTGTTACAAATGTGCACAGTCAACCTAATAGAAAGTAAATAGAAATGTTGTCACCCCTGACGACTAAAATGAAATGCCTCGGTATCACTAAAAAGTGTATCAGATGTTAGTCACTCAGCATACAAAACACAACAGCATTATGCTGATATTTTACATTGGTAACCTGGCTTGTTCAAACATTGACATTTGATACTACGTAAGCTTTACTGTGATAAATTTACTTTGATAATGCAACAGATGCACCAACATGCCGAAGCTCTCAGCAAAGGGTGCATGGAGTGGCAAAACAGGAACGAGCGCATATCACGTGTCATGTAGATGCTAATCCAGCGGATGTTAGTGTAAGTAAAAGTAAACTATTTAGTTTTTAATTAAAAAAAAACATATTAGAGGGCCCATGGATACCCACACCTAACTTATTAAATCTTACCTCGTCAAATCCAAAGCCTAGGATGAAATGCCCAAAAAAGCCTGAATTTACACTGATTCTCTTACATTTCAAACTTGATTCAAGACTGTGATACATTGGATGTTATTTCCTTGTCTCTAAAATTGCTTCCAAGCCCACCTCCGATCTTATCGAAAAAGTATTACATCGAATACCGTTAGGATAGCGTCTATGTTTGCTCCTACACTTATATTGTATATTGTAGCTTCGTATATAGCTTATCAGATTTATATCCGGAACTCTTTCAAATTAACTTTTTACATTTTTTAACGTGGTCGAAAGTGGGTGAAAAAGATCATCATCATATATAATATATACATACACCCGTTTGCCAAGCGTGGCATCTATGGCGAAATCATAGAGGAGGCCTATGTTCAGCAGTGAACTTTTACAGGCTGTAATGAATGAATAAATACATGTAATTTATGTATGTAAATATACACATACAAACATAAAATGTATGTATGCATGCTGTAATTCATTGGCCCACGACCGTAAATTTAATGAAAATGTATATAAGCGCTATCTACTATATAATGATTCCGAAAATTTTAGTAATACATATTTTACATCTATTATATAAAGTGCAAGTTTATTTTCTCAGTTCCGATGGACATTCAACAATACGGCCAATAGTAACGAGGTTAGCGACAGTTACGTGTCGAGGTCAGGCACAAGTTCCACTGTTACGTACACGCCCCACACTGAAATGGACTACGGAACGCTATTGTGTTGGGCACATAATCGAATTGGGAAACAACGCGTGCCTTGCGTATACCATATAATAGCAGCCGGTAAGCAGTTGTTACATCATTCTTTTTTTTTGTTTTAACCTACTTTTTTAAAGTAGTAGCAAATGGCATTAATAATTCTACATAAAACACGTCCACTCAGCTTTAAAGTATTTTATACGAGTGGTTCACGACAGTAGTCAAATGGTGGATTCGAACACATGAATTTCGCAGTCCGTATCTATAACCATTAGGCTACTGTTACTCAAATATAAAATGAAATATTAAAAGAATAAATACTACGTAAATATGCTCACTGTTTACGTTAATTATAAAATAAAAAATAATGTGAATTGTTTCTTTAATTAAGTCTGTAAAGCTGCGAATTAAATGAAGCAAACAATATTTTCCACAGGTCGACCAGACCAAGTACATAATTGCACGGTAGTGAATGCATCTTTAACGTCATTTGGGATTCGATGTGCAGAAGGATTCAACGGTGGGTTACCGCAGTCATTCCTTCTAGAAGTTCGTGATATAATTTCCCAGGTAAAAACAAATTTTATACAAAGAATAACATAAAGAAATTCTATTATTTTCATAAAGAAACGATGACAAGCAAGGAAAAAGTCCACCTGATAGTAATTAAATGCAATGGCCCATGGACATTAAGCCTAGTATAATAATGAAAATTATTACATATTATGTATATTACATATATTTTTCGTTATCCGTAAAAGAGTTGCCAGGCTCTCATCACTTTTCGCTATAACAACTCCAAGCAACAACGATTCACGCTACTAAACTACAAGGAATTATTGATGATTTACATATACCCAAACTATACGTATAGCTCACGTCCAGGGTACTTGGGTGCTTGCCTTAATTTTCAGTGTCAACAATTTGTGTTCGGTCACTGCCAGCACTACTGAAACTACTATTTACTTGCTTATTTACATACTTTCGTTGAGGAAACCTGAATCTATATTATATGCCCACAGGAAATTGTAGCAAACGTCTCGAGTGCCGTACCACGTTTCACTGCCGTTGGGTTAGAACCAGGAAAGACTTATGCTTCTGCGGTCTTAGCATATAACGCGAAAGGGCGCGGCGATCCATATCCCCTTAGAGCTAGCACACTAAGACCACCGGAAAAACATCATGTACATGATAAGAGCCTGGGTAAGTGAGCTACATAGACGGAATATACACTCATATGTTTGTATATATATATATATATGTTGCATTTAAAATCGTATTTTATTTTACATTAGATTTACCGAGAACCGCATTTCAAATATCGGGGGCCATGTCGGCAGCAGTTGGTGGAGGAGGAGTTCTCATGGTTGTCCTAGTCCTTTTTATGGTAGCTGTACGGCAAAGGTGTGCAAAAAGGAAACCACGATCAGCACCGCCTCCGTCGTCTCAACCAGCATCACCAGACAAATTAAGAGAGAAAGATGATAGTGAAAGTGATGACAGAAATCCCGACATAATTCCATCAGACACAGATCATATGCAGGTATGTTTGTAGAATAATTTTCATAAAATTTTATTTATTCTTAATATACATTATCATCATTATAACAGCCTATCAATAGTCCAATGTTGAACATTAGCATACCCCATAGATTGCCAATAATCTGCCATAGTTGTCACGCTTGGCGGGCGGGTTGGCAACTTTTTATTGTTTATATTTATCAGGAAGATGCTGCTGTCCATCTCGTGTTTCATAATTCCCCTTTTTTACTTCTTACGATACCCACGGATTGATATGTGGTAACGAATTCTGTTAGAGTGCAACTACACGGCAAGTCTCAATATTATTTGATAGATATTATCGAAAAATTTTGATCATTTTTTCTCGTTATGTTCTAGTCCTCAAAGTTATGATTTAAACTTGGTATATATTATGTTAGTCTTGTGTAATGACAGAGTAAGAGTATCCATCACCCTAATTAGGCCCATGGGTATCGAAAGAGGATATAATGGAAAATATTAGTATAATATTTGTACTTTTGTATATTTATATTTATAAAATATATATTTATATGTATATATATACATATATTATATTAATAAGTATGTATGTATTTATCTTATCTATGTACTTATATACCATTCTATATTGCTATTTTTGGCGTATAATAAAGTGTTATCTATCCATCTATCTATCTAATCTCATGGCTTCCTATAGAGATGGTGTTTTAACCAAACCAATCATGCCAGGCATTATATTCTCAATTAGCAACCCATTGTCAAAACTGAAATAATTCAACTCTACACAACCGTTGAGGCTCATGCCAAACATTATTTTAGACCCTAATGATGTAGGAGAAGATTAGTAACTTATTAAAACTGCACCTACAAATATTATTATATATTTACGTTTGCATCCCAGTTGGACTACTTCCGTCAGCAACAAGTATCGACAATCTCACCGCCTCCAGGGAACAGGGCACCAAGGGGAAGCGTAGCTGGGGTACGTGGGAGTATACCCGGCTATTGTCCACTTCGCACTATACCACCTTCAACGCATCCTCAAGCGATGCACGATAATTCGGTAAGTGTGATACAAAAGAAAATTTTACGAGTCTCAAGATAATTTTGTAGTTCACATCACCATTAATAAAAGGCGTCAAATAAAAAATAATAATTAGGTGAATAAATAAATAATATTATAATGTTTTAAAACTGGCTAGTTTTCCCTCTTACTTAAAATTTGATTTTTATGATTTTAAAAATATCAAATGAGATTTTTATTTCACTATAAATATTTAATGTGACTTCATTATACTTTATTCTCATGCAGGCCCTAAGGAAAGATTTGATTTCACAACTTATAAAATGTATTGAATTAACATTAGTGTCAAATACCAAGTTATTAACGTAAAATTTATATACCTACACTAACTGATCTGTACTCAACTGAAATAAGTAACCATGAAAGTCTTGTTTACGAAACAGCTGTTTTCTTCTATTGACTTAACTAAAACAAAATATTGCTAAAATAAATTCATATATCTTTGTGGATATAGTACAACCTACCTCTCCATTAATTTATCAAGATTATATTTTTATGAATATGATAGTAAAATGAAAAAGGAGCTTACAGTCGCATAGTGGAAAGTCGCTAATGCAGATACCATAGACACCTGCTAATAGCTTTTAGCTCAAACAAAGAAGGACACATATGCGTTGTCACCTCTGTTGTCTTAAAATATAATGCACAAAGCTTGTAAATATACTGGCACTTTATACATTTCAGACCAGACAACAGTGCACTCGCTACTATTTGGCGTCAGAAATATATAAGAGGATAGTACTTACTTAGGCGAGCTCCTAGGCCAGAGAGTGAGAGAGTCATCTAGTGTTTAATTACTCGTAAACGGCTGATAGATTTGGATGTAATTTTACCCAATAATAAACTTAAGATACTTCTAGATTAAGATTAATAGATAGGATATCTTTATATATACAATTCTTCCGTCTGATTGTATGTGACTAAACTCCTTCTAAATGGCTGGACCGATTTAAATGAAATTTGGTGTGTGCGATTAAGTTAATTCGAGAATAGTTTAGATTCACAATTGGACCCGATTAGCGGCGCTGTTGTCGAGACCCAGAAATCACACGTGCGAAGTTGGGGCTGATTGTTTGTTTTTAAACAAAAATTACAAAAACTCACTTAATAAATTTATTGTATTCCCATTTCTGCGACGGAGAAGCGGGCAAAAGCTGATTAATAACATATTTTAAACATAGAACTGAAACATATAAACACAATTAGTATCGCCAGTGTTATTTGAGTAGTGAATTGATTTGAAGGATTTAGTTCATTAAGAATTTAAATTAATAACTTGCTCAAGATTACGATATTAGTTTACCCGAGAGATTTACACAGCATGAATAATTATTGTTTAGCTGTTTGTCTAATGGTTGTTAGTGATTAGTTCAAGCTTGTTTGTAAATTAAATTGTTCTGTAACTTCTCTTGTATAAATAAATAACAGTTGAGTAAGATTTTAATTAAATCTAATTGTTTTTTCAAAGATGCTGATTTTTCATGTCTCATGTCGTTTGCTGGCTTTATGACATAACTACACATGAATTGAAATTAAGAAGAATATATAATTAACACAAAGAAAATAATTTATTGAAGAGTAATCGCCTAAATTTAAAAACGCTGGTATATGGTGCCAATCAATGTCTACGCCACGTGAAATATCAATTAATGAACTACAGCATCGAATTATCTAGACACACGACTTAGCTCATCCAGGGTAGCATTATATTCTCGCAGAATACATAGGAGAGACAGCAGTGTTGACGGAGTTACCGGATACCCTTTTTACTGGAAACGAGGCATTCCATCTTAGTCCTCATGGGTGACAACATAATCTGTATTTTCGTTCTTAATCGAGGATTAATGTATATATCTATGGGCTTCAGCGTTCTCTTATTAGTACAATCAGGAGGATTTGATAGTGTGCCCGTTTGTCACCCTTATTATATAACAAACTATTTTTATTTTATATTTTTCTATTTATAGCGTACGAACGTAACAATTCTATTAAGTTTAGATTCTAGATTCTAAAGTCTAGGTTAACCCTGATGTACCGTAAGCAACGGTTTAGTGCACAAGAGACGTCTTGAGGCTTTCCGCAATGCTCTTGTGGGCGGTTTGTAGAGTTTTGAAGTACCACAAGAGAACACACAAAGATATAAGCACTCGTTTGTCCTAACCTACCTGTGCCAATATAAAGTTTATGCGGTATAGTCGGAGGTATACTTGGGTACAGTGCAAGATAAGTGAGATAATCAAACATCAAAAATCAAAACTAAACGGTAAAAAAAAACGGTTGCTTCGAAAATTTTCGCTGGGCGACTATTGGTGAAAAATGGTGCAATTTAAAGACGTTAATATAATATCGCACCTCCGATAAAATAGTTACAACTTGAAAAACCTGGATTTTTAGAAAAGCGAAAATAAACTCATGGATTCGTTATACAGTTTTTATTCTTGTAGTGTTAGTATAAAGTTACACAAATTATATATAATTGAAAAGCTTGCAAAAAGATATGTTTAAATGACATAAGCTATATTTTCAAATTTCCTGAAATATTACCTGAAAATTCCTAATTGTAAAAGTATTTTAGATAACTATTTGAACTTTTACTAAGAAGAATATAGCATGACATATGTAACAATTCCTATTATAATAAAAATTAGGCAGTTCTTTAAACTTTTTTTAACGTAACAATATTTATATAGCTGTAGACTTAGTAACAAAATCAACTCCAACATAAATATGCAAAAATTGTAACTAAAACAAAAATGTAAACTATTCTAAGCATCACAATTTTATCGAATCACTTTACAGTACAAGTTCAAGTAGTACTTAATTAAGTAACGCTTAAATAATATTTGGTTTAATGTACTCCTTAATGAAATAATGTTTAATTACTAAGTTGGAACTGTAATCATCACTATAAAATCAAAATCACAGATAAAATCTAAGTTTCAATCGTCTATTAATTAGGGTGCATAATTATCAAAAAATTACTGGTATTTATTCAATTACAATTGGTTGTAAAAAGGCGCATAAAACTGTGGTATATGATTACTATTAATCAAACTCATCAAATCAGTCATCACATTTCTTCTTCTCGCTTATTGAGAGCTGCCTGATGTAAGCAGGTTTTTGTCCAGGCAGAACCTCCAGAACCAGAAATTTAGCTTCCGAAAATCCTTCGTCTTCATAAGAGTTCTTGTAATAAATAACACAAGGTGTTTCTTTCATGAATTTAACTACCCTGACGTCTTTCAAATTAATGTTACCCGTACCGAAGCGTAATTCTGCATGTAAATTCTTCAGGGACATAGTCAGAATGACGATTTCGTTTTATTGGCGCCATATGCCTGCAGATAAAATCTCTTTGGCGGTTAATATTTTTAAGTTCCCAAAATTCTTTAAAAACAGCTTCTCTATCTATTTCTGACATTTTTCTTTGTACTTTAACTGACAGCGTTCGCTACACGGTGGTTTAATTTTTCTAGCATACTTCTTCACCTTTGTTTTTAAGTGTTACGTAAGCACATCCTGCATTTCTGAGGATTTTACATTTCTTTTGGAACCATTCAGTTGGTTTAGCTACACGTTTTCTTCTTCGTTTTTCGTGTCTGATATTGGCGTGTCATCTAGGCTTGAGTACAATGTTGATACTGAAGATATAGCTGCGGGTGTAGCTTTGAAGTTAGCTTGGTTCCCAAGGTTGACTTCAGTTTCGGAATTGTCAGAGATTTTAATGGAACGACGTTACTCAATTTGAAAATCTGGATCTTTCACCGAATCATCACTATCCTTATGTGTAGTTGAACTAGAAGTGTCTGAGGAACATGTACTTTCTGTATCTGAAGAAGAATCGGTTGACGAGTCATCAATAGGGAAGTCTAATGATGACTCGTCAACCGATTCTTCTTCAGATACAGAAATTTGCTTGGAACTCTGGTCTTTAACTTCTATTGAATTTGTAGATGGTATCACTTCAGTATTGTAATGCAGAAATTATATATAAATGCAGATTTACTTATTGTTATATCTGTAAATGCAAAACCGAATCAACAATTATAGTGACAACTAAACAAAGCCAACTTTTATATCAACTGCACAATAAAAATACTACCATCTTTTGACATTGAGTCTGACGATCATCTGGCAAATCGAAATAAACTTTCTCGATGGTATAGCTTTTGAAGTGTTCACTTGGAGATAACAGTATTTCAACTTCCGTAGTGTTCTTGCTGGAATTAATTCTTGTCCTATTTTCTGTAAAACATATTTTTAAATTAGCACATCGTTTCAGACATCAAAATTGAAGCCATCATTGCTCCGATTGCACGATAAAAAAATTAAAACTTTTTCACTCTCAGCTTCAGAAACAGCTATGAAATCTTGATTAGCTCTTGCGATGTTACATTGTGGTATATCGAAGTCAATTTTCCCGGTTTCTGATAGATTGTCAATAATATCAAAATCCGATTTTTCTCTTGATTCTGAAAAAAAATATTAACACGTACCTATGATGAAATTCACTTGTTTACATAAAGTTAGGTGCTTCAATTAGTTCGTTATACAAATGCTACAAACTTTTAGAATGACAAAAGTAACCTGGTAATAACAGATGGGTAAGGTAAGTTAAGGTCCTCGGGGATCGCTTTTATTAATAATGAAAAGAATCACATTCATTTATCACATGATTCATAATTTTGTTTTAATACACTCATGTATCAGAGTGTGAAAATTACCAAAACCCGCCCGCTAAGTTTTAATTACGTTAATAGTTAGGCAGATCGAAATTCTGAACTGTGTTACGGTTTGTTTGTATTATAAATTGTAAATACTTTAATAATATTCCAAACAATACCTTAGATATTGTAACTATAGTAGGCATCTTTTCCCCGGGACCTCTGAGGAGTTCAGACGTATTAAATGCTTAAACCGCTATACTATTTTGATTTAATTATTATAACAAATTTGCAAAATAAATCAAGCCAAAATAA